CCAAATCTCTTCTTTCAGGGCTGGGATCAAGTACCTACTTCTCAGTGATCATCCCTGTTTGCACATGTGTTGCATTCCACCCAGCAACTTATATCCCTGTCCCTTACATCTTCTGTTTTATCATCTTGTCATTCTCTCTGTCAGAGGGTACTGACTGTTCTTTCCTGATGATAGGGTAGTTCTGCTGTACTGAAGAAAAGTACCAATGTTAAGGAATAGAAAGTTAAGTAATAAGTCAATAAAAACAAGAATGAAGTCAGTATGAATAAAAATAAATATTAACAGAATTATATACAAAAATAGATGAAGATGTGGGGCTTGGGGTGAGGTAGAAGATTTGGTCACCTGTGTAACCCAGGTATTGTATCCTGGGCTACCTGAAAACTCAAGATCCTCCTGCCTCAGCTTCCTACCTGTTTGAATTACTAGAATACATCACCATGCCTGACAGAAGAGTGGTTCTTGATGGCATAATGCAAAAGAAGTCAAGAGCACCAAAGACAACAGGAGAATCTCATGGAAGCAGTAGAGGAATGACATCACAAATATTCATTATTGTATCCCACCACCACCGAACTATCCTTAAGGTAAGAACTATATGATTGGGAGCTGTTTAAAAATTACATGGCCCTTTGCATGGATATTATACATGGTATAATATAGGAATGTTTTTATTATGAGCATAAATAAGATATATCACCTTACTTTCCATATTATAACAGGTCAACACTCTACTTTTGAATTCAAAAATCAACTATAAGTGAGTACACCTAAAAATAAAGACAAAATGTGAAGAATAACTTGTTTATATCATGAGCTGTGTACTTGTTTTGCCATGTTTCTCTCTTCTTTGAACTCTAGTTGGTTCACACTGAGCAACAAAACAGTGAATGTGCACAATAAAATAAAAGAAGCCAAGTGTATATTGCAGAGACCCGGAAAAAGAAACAGTGAGTATGAGCTGAGGAATAGGGAACTGTCCATTCTTCTCTTTCTTTCCTCACTTCCATTCCTTTCCCCCCTTCTCTTTCTTCCTTCCTTTCTCTTCTATCTTCCTTGATCACTCTTTCTATCTGTCATTCTTCCCCTCCTTCCTCCCTCTTCCCCTTCACTCCCTCTCACTCCGTCCCCCACCCCTCTGCCTCCTTCCTCTCACTCTCCCCTCACTCCTCTGCATCCTTCCTCCCCTCCCTTCTCATTCCCTCACTCCTTTCTTCCTGAACATCTTATTCCAGTGCTGCTTTTATCTCTCTTATTACTACTTCTTATTAACTAATAACTTTTTTCATTGTCTTATTTAATTAAAATACTACTGTGTCATTTTCTCCCTTAAAATCTTGCTAGAGTTCTTCCCTTCTGGACCAGAGGTGAGTACCCGGGTCCAACCCGGACCCCATCCCTGGGCACCAGCCACTCCAGGGAGGCCTGCACAGCTTGGCGCCGGGTTCTGGCCACCGGGCAGCTCCCCTTCTAGCCCCACCAGAAGGGATCCACTTTTCCAAGCCCCCAGCAGCCCCTGCAGTCTCC